AAACATATAAATATCTGTTCAAATACACTAATAATAAATTCTTGTGTTTGTTTTGTAATTTTGACATAGTTTAAACTAAACTAAACTAAATCCACCCAGTGTTTAATATTGAAAATAATTTAAAGATCAGACTGAAGATCTATCCTATCTCAGCTGTTCAGTTATTTTCATTTTAAACTGTTTTGTTTCTACAGTGTTAACATTTGAATGTGTCTCTCCATGATAAAACCATATAATTATATCGTATCTCTATTTTATATCTGTCACTTGTCAGCTTGTTTCTCTAACTATGTTTTATGATGGTTTCTTTTTTTACTGGTAACCTATGTCTTTATCTTATCAACATCCCTTTCTGTCACATCATTTACCACCTAACTAATAGTTATCTACTAGTTTGGAAATGATTCTGCCTACATATATATTTTGCAATGTGTGTATTAATGCCTTCATATACTAGTGGACATATTTTGTCATCCCCTTCTTTCTGAATTGAATGAATTACCAAAAGAGAAGGGGGAGGGAAGGAGAGAGGAAGGCAGGGAGAGGGAGAGGGAGAAAGGGAGTGGGGGGAGTGGAAATTCAAAATTTAAAAATTAAGCTGTGCTTTGGATATATTGTTACCTATCAGGAATTATATATAGCAGGGTTAGGCAATTGATTTTCTCACGGGACACATAAGAAACTGGGACTGCTGTGGACAGACACTGGTGCTCCCCACTGATTCCCCCATTGCCATGGCCACAGCCAGACAGGGACAGTCAAAGGGATAGATATGGCCAAAGGGCCGTAAAATACCCATATTTGCTCTATAAGATAAGTTTCAAGCACAGAGCCCAGAGAAAAACATTAAGGCTCTTTAGGACATCCACATCATTTCCAAAAATATTTTTAAACATTCATGTAATCAATATAATTTACATATTCTAATGCCCCTTCTAAAAATTATGTGATATATGAATCATGTTATATATATTAAATTATGTGAACAATTCATCCATTTTATTCCCTCTCAGAGGTATAAAAAAAACACCATATTCACCTATATATTCACCTGAGGGTCAACTGGCTAGACAAACACTTGTACTTCAATTTTTGTAAATTGGATTTACTGGTCATGAAAGTTGAATTTACTAGTGACTGTAAGGATGGACATTATAATTAGACTCTATCTGGGACTGAATATAACCTTGAGAGGATGTGAATTATTTATTTTTAATTCAAAAAAAAGTATATGCTGCTCTTCAAGACAGGCTTTCATAGGCTGGCATATAACATTCTCAAATTTCAATTTAAAAATCTCTCAAGCAAAGCAAACAGTACAAACAAAGATATCAGAAATATATTAGATTTTGGAAAATCCATTGCAAAGAAATCATTCATTAAAAAATCTCAGAGAATAACAACATATTTTCCTGGCCCTTGAAGTGCAGTAGGAAAAGGCACCAGATCACAGGGGAGAAAATCCTGAGCTATGGGACCACCAGTGAGACATGAAGGCACTTTCAATATTAGCTTGAGGATATGGCAAGGAACGTATGAAAAAAAGTGTTTCAACAGATATTGGAATACTAAGCTATGTAGAGAATTAAAAATTAATACCAATAATTTATATTAAGATAGGAAACAAACAATTATAGACATTGGTCTAAAAGAGTCAAACATTAATTTTCATTCAGTATACTTTCTATCTTAACTTCTACTGAGGTTTCTATCTTGTGTTTTTCTAGGATGTGTTATCTTCCTTAGAAGGGGAAAAACATGGGGAATCTGGCATTTCACACGTGGAGAAGCCGAGATGCTTCCATTATGGAAAGACCAAATTCAGATCCTATTACTTCCAATTCTGATATGGAGAACTTGGATCAGGGATGTTTACAAAATTAGTAAAACAAGTCAGTGGAAGCACTACAACAGTGTAATTGAAGATTCATTTCTTCTGTGCTTTTGTTGCACAAAAGAGGAAGGGTTAGGGTTTCTATTGCATTATTATGGCTATCATTTTGATTTTTTTTACATCCCAAGGAAATTCCTTTCAATTTCCATATATACAATACATCCACAACTAACTCTGATGAGGATTTAGCATTTTGTATATATTAAAATGCTTATATAGCCTAATTTCACCATACCTTTCTCATATAACATACATAACAAAGAAGTGATGTTGGGATTGTGAGTTCAGTGTAGTTTATCATGAGAAGAATGCATAGCAGAGTTTCCTTCAAATGCTGGAAATCTTGCTTTTTTCTAATGCATAAGAAACAATTGAAGTGTGCAGTTGTAGGTTCTTTCTCGAATTCTGCAGTATCAGACACTGTCTGGTTTGCTATTGCAAAGATGTGCAATGCAGGTCAATATTTCATCAGAAATGTTTTCACTTAGAATCACAGAATCATTGGGCTGGAAGAGCCTCAGAGGTCTCCCAACCCCCTGCCCAAGGCAGGAGTCCTTATATCATCCAAGACAAATGGTTGTCCAATCTTTTCCTGAAAACCTCCAGCAGTTGAGCACACACAACCATGAGAGGCACCGATTAATCATTCTCAGCATCAGGAAATTTCTCCTTATTTCCAAGTTGGATTTTCTCTGACAAGCTTCTACCCATTGTTTCTTATCCTGCTTTCAAGTGCTATGGAGAATAAATTGTTCTTCTTTTCCCTGTGACAGCCCTCCGAGTATTGGAAAACTGCTATCAGGTCTCCTCTAAGTAGACAAGAACTAGTATCTTTTTAGAAATATTTCTGTGTCAATTCGACTCCCAGAATTCTCTTCAAGATATAGCACATTATCTAAGATGTTTCTGCTTGCCACCCAATAGATTACATCCAACGTAAATTCTTTTGTTGACAAAAAAGGGGATGTCTTTCCTCACTCCCTAACAGCTCCATCGGAACTCCAAACTGGTACTGCCCTAAAAGTGCTCCTTTGGCAGTCCCCATGGGGCTCTCACCCATTTTGTAGATGCTGCTATAGACAACTGAGTTTATTTTGCTGCCATACATAAATATCTAAAGAAAAAAGTCAAGTTTCATTTTTTTTCTGGCTCAACTTTACAAACATGATCTTTAGGGTTTTTTTTTTTTTTTTGCAAGAATATAGAAGTAGTTTTTCAAAAAAGTAAAAAAGCCTATACAGGTAGACTTCAAATTATTTAGTGACCATTCAAAGTTATAATGGCGCTGAAAAAGTGCCATTTTCACACCCGTGACCATTGCAACATTCCCATGGTCATGTGATAAAAATTCAGACTCTTGGTAATTGACTCATATTTATGACAGTTGCAGTGTCCTGGGGTCATGTGATCATCTTTTGTGACCTTCAGAAAAGCTAGATTCATTTAACAACAGTGCCACTAACTTAACAACTGCAGTGATTCATTTAACAACTGTGGCAAGAAAGGTCATAAAATGGAGCAGATGTCTCATTTAACAACAGAAATTTGGGGTGCAATTAATGTTCATAAGTCAAGGACTACCTATATTGTAATTTCTCCTGGTAATTTTTATAACACCAGATCATCCAAATTCCCATTGTAAATATTTCAATTACATTAAAATACTTAGTTCATAGAGTTTTATTTTAATTGAACATCTTTTGTAGAGATGTAACTTGCTATTTAAGTACTGTTATTCCAGTGGCAATGATACTGTCTGAATTTAATTTCAAGTTAGAAGCACTGCATTCCTCATCTTGTAACCTAAAATACTCTGGTCTGCAGTATAAAAAACACAGTGGAGAATGTCTACTGCACAGATTGCTAGTTGCAGCAAACAGTGGAAGCTTTTCAGTGACATGCACAAAGATCCACCGAGACTCCGCTGAAAGCATTCAACTCAATTTCTTCCTTTGACCCAAACCACTTTGGAAAATCATGTTTCCAGATGTGAAAGGCTCAGCATATTAACCTTGCTGCAAACCCCCAACCTTCTGCCATCTGCTTTTATAGCAGAGGCATTTCAATGAAACTACTGTAGTGATAAGAGACACTAAAAGTCAACACAATACACAAGATCATATTCCATTTTCAAAAGTCTTTCACTTGTTGTATCAACTGAACCTTTAAAGAAAACTGCAGGTAGAAAATACAGTATAATTTTACCATTCACATTTCATCTCTTCTTGTCAGAATATAGGAATTAAACCATGACATGCAGGAGATTCTAATCTTCATTTTGGCTTCCTGATTAAAATCACTAATTGCTATTAATTGCAGCAATCAAACTAATATGGAAGTTTTTGATTTTCACATGGCTACATTCCACAAAGAAAGACAAAGGGAGATGACATAAATCCAGATAAATACTATCTTACTCTCATAATGCTAAATCGTAGCATTTTAAGAACTTGGGACTCTCGGTTTCCTGAAAAAATCATCCCAACATACAAAGAATATATAATGTCTATCTTCCATTCTCCAGAATTCCTACTACAATGAAAAAAAACCCTTCTATATCTGATCAATGGGACTGAATCGCATCTGGTAATTCAGGCAAAGTGAAGACTATATCCAGCACAGACCAGATTTGCAGTAGACTTCATTATGTATGCAGTAATTACACTTCAATCTCAAATTTGTGAAGACATACCAGTTTGAGAAAATATTTGCTCTTAAGATTTGTGACATTCATTTTACCTCAGTTCAGCTGTAGGTATGTTTGCATTGACATACCACTATAAATTATTCTCATTGCATAACTAGGATTTCTTTATATATCTACTACTATGCCATCAATTACAAGCAAAAGTAAAGAGCATGAGTTTTATTTGGTACAAGCATCAGGGTATTTGAGTTAAGGAGTTGTAAGACACTAGTAATTCAAATCCTTTCACTACAATATATCCTTACAAACCAATGCAGAACTATTCACTCAAACACTCCAATCCTTTTAGCCAAGTGACAACATGCCATAATAATTAACACTCCAAAAGTAACTATAAAATCCATCATATGAATAGAAGGGATAGAAGAAGCACACCTTGAGGCATTAATTTTATCTTACCTCATAGAGGGTAATTATTCCATTAGTTTCATTTGGTGGCTTCCACTGAACATAGATCTTCTCTTCAAATGGTCCTCCCTGAATAGATTCAAGGGGAACAGTTCCAGGAACTAAAAATAAAATGAAAAGTTTGTAAATCATAATGTTTCATTTTTTCTCTATAACCTAACATTAAAATCAGTGTACACTCCAATTTTTGACAAAACATTGTGCAATTTTTCCCAAACCACATACATATTTGTGTGCCACAATAATATGAATGCACTGTAAATAACAAATAGTCCTCCCTTAATAATATTGAGACCTGAATTTCCATTGTCAAGTGACACAGTCATAAAGTACAATGGCATGTGACTGCATCACTTGGTGATAGAAATTCTAGCACAGGGGTGTCAAACTCATGTTGCCACGGCTGCATAATGTGATGTATTGGAACTTTCCCCCCCTTCGCTAAACTGGGTGTGTGGGCTGTCAAGTGCATGACACATCTGGCCTAAGGGCCAGGAATTTGACAGCCCTGTTCTAGCACTTCTGGTTGCCTCTATTAAAATGAAACACCGTGGGTCATTAAGCATGAGCATATTGTGGTCACCATTTGTAACCTTCTGCCAATCTTTCCATTGACTGTAAGAAAGCAGAAAAGATTACTGCAAATGGCAATCATGTAACCCATAGGGACATTGAAACTGAAATAAGTGTGGGGATTGGTTGTAACTACCATTCATTCAGCACCATTGTAAGTTTGAATGGTTACTAAATGAGTGGTCATTAAGCAGGGATGTTCAATAGTGAGCTGTCAAAATAAAACTGAAGTTCTTAATTTTTTTGTGTGTTCTATTAATTAGGTCAGCAATCCCCAACTGTCCCAGTTTTGTGAATGGGTGGTGCTGGCAGTGGCAGGCAGAAAGGATGGTTTCGCACAAGCAGTATGCAAGTGCACTTGCACCCACAGCTCAATTTGTGCATGCAGTGGGCATGCATGGAGCTTTGCACACACATATGCATGCCCACTGCTCACAGCCCAGGGATGGGGACCCTTGAATTAGGTTACTCACTTCAATAAAGAGATATCTCTTATCTGGAGGAGTTGGGCAGTTTAGAAATATGAAATATAAATATGTTTAATCAACATATCTTTAATTCCTTTCCTTCTCTTACCCTCCTGGAAGAATGACATTTTAAATAAATAATGAGTAAATAGCAGTAAGGAATAACTACTGCTATTCAGATACCTAGTTAACACAGTATCTATTAACCCAAAATAACTTTTTTTTAAATGCAGTAATCATCAACTTTGACAAGCCCTTGAACATTAATTCTTAAGCACACTTTAAGCAAACCCACCTGAAATATTTTGACACATATTTAGAGAAGACAACCAAAATCTCCCAACACATACTGTATAGTTATTGATTTTCTTAAGATGTAATCAGAACGAATCCTCCAAAAAGCAAAATGGGAAGCTTCATTATGTTTAGTATTAGCTATAATTTTACCCTGCAACAATTTTCAGAGGTTTATTTCCACAATATTAAATTTTAGTCTATTTTTGGAATGAGCTGTGAATCATATTGGTTGAATTTTTATCTACCAGTATAATCTTATTTTAAGCAGTTTTTAATTTGCTTTCATCCCCAAACAATTTAAATAGTAAGAACTTTATTTCTTACCATCCTCTTCTGTTTGAACCACCAATTCTTCACTCTCCATCTTGCCCTCTGGATTTGATAGAGCCAACCTCAATCGAATAGTCATGAAGGGGCGCAATCCTCGCAGCGTGTAATGTGATGATGTCTGAATTAGTTCCTCTGCTTCATATTTCTGCTGGTTGAATATATACTGGTAATGAACTGTCAAGTTATAGCTGTGGCAACGAGTCACAACATAACCAAAAGGTTCCCACTGCAAAGTCAACTGACGTGATCGGATGTCTACAACCTCAACATTCTGAGGACCATGGACTGGATCTGTGAAGGAAAAACATGTCATGCTTTAGTTAATTAAAAATGAAAGCATCTGATGGATTTGCATGTGAACACTGGACAGAGAAACTTACCAGCTTCCACTGGAATAAGCCTTGCAACAATACTCAAAGTCTACTGAGCAATAGTGCTAACTACCCTGATGTATGCTAGTGAGTCTTGGACTGTATACAGGAGGCACTCTTGGCAATTGAACCATTTCCACATTACCTGCCTCCACAGACTTTGGAGGATCTGGTGGCAGAACAAGGTGCCAGACACAGAAGTCATCTCCAGAGTAGAGTTCATACCTTTCTGATTAAAGCCCAGACATGCTAGGCAGGCCATGTTGCAAAGATGCTAAACCACTGCATTTCCAAAACAACACCTCTATGGTGAGCTGTCTCAAGGAAAGTGATTGCATGGGGGACAAAGGAAGTGATACAAAGACACACTGAAAGCTTCTCTCAAGTCCCTGGATATCAACCCCACCTCCTGGGAAATCCTGGCACTAGATTGATCAACATGCACCATGTTGATTGATCCACCAATGCTGCCAGATATTTAAAAACAGAAGGACAACCATAGCACAAGAGAAGCAAGCACTCCGCAAAGCCAGAGCTGCAAATGCTGCAATAGTGGTGCCCACACATGTCTGCCCAACAAGTGGCAGAACATTTCATGACCATATATGTCTTACCAGCCACCTGCAGACACACTGTGGACAGCCCATAACTCATTGGATGTCAAGGTCCTCTTTGAAAAAGATGGACAAACATCATCATCTTATTTGGAACAAGTGTCTTTGATAATAGCAACTGATACCCTTAACACCTAAAAGCTATAATATGCAAAGTGCTTTACACAGGGATGCTTTGAGGATTGCTAAGAAACTGCTTTTTATATAGAATGTGAGAGTCCATTTGCTCATATTTAAGAGCTTTTGTGGCTTTATAACAACACATTAGCAAGCATTACATTGGCTGCTCATAGACTTCTGAAAACAATTCAAAATGCTGGTTTTCCAGCTTTTTATGCTTTGGATCTTAAGTATTGTCTACTTCAAACAGAGGTTTATTATGTTTTCATTGTGCAAAAGGATAATTAAGGTACATCCATCTAAGAAGCTCAGGAGGACAAAGGAAATTTTCTTTGCTATAGCTCCTGTGCTTATGAATAGCCTTCCCAACTCCCAGAGTTTGGCTGGTGCCCATTTTGATGAGTTTTTGAAAGACCATGAAAAAGATATTGTTCTGTATTTTATGTTTGATTTGTTCCCATTAGATTGGGTGTCAATGGAAGTTACTAAATGTATCATTTATTATTGTGATTGTTTTATAAACTAGCTACTTTTGTTTACAAATGCATACATTTATTTATATGATTTATAAAGCCATTCACCCCACATAATAGATATTGGGAGGCTTACAAGGTTAAAACAATGCATTCCTTATATGTAAATCACTAGTAGTCATTCCACACAACTTAGGTTCATATCTTTCATTTCATCCTTTAATTCATGTCTTTACCATTTGCATTCCATATATCACTGATGCAAAGTGTGCAGCAAACTGTTAAACCCATAGATATTTACCACTACTGACATCACGGCACGAGTCAATCAAAGTATTCATACACTTTTTAGCAATTCAGAAAAATGACCTAGGTTAGTAACCTCAATTCCACCCATACACTATACAATAAGGGCAGTTCAAGTCAGTTTTGGCACAGCTTCTCTGGTATATCAGAAATGAAAATATAACCCAAGTTTTACCCCAAGCATTTCAAATTGAGCAACCATTTTAAAAGCTAATATGTTGTTGCTGACACCTCACCATGTAGCAGGTAGATGCAATATACCCACCATCAGGAAACAAAACAAAGCTATTCTTCTAATTTGCTCATAAATAAGGAATACATCCTTTGAACAACTGCTGCACTGTTTCTATCTATAGAATTGATGCCAATAAAACCTATATTGTCGCATTTATTTTAAATGTGTTATTTTTTTTAACAAAAAATGATTCAACAGTGTAAACATTTAAAATCAGTATTTCTCACATGGAGGGAAAGCAGTTTGTGTTGGTGAGACCATTTAAAGAAATATGGAGGTTATTCTTGATTTTAAGATATATAGCAAGGACCTTAAAGTATCATTCTAATTAAATTTGCACTTAGATTAAACTGTGGTTTGTCAGACCATGGTTTGCTGAATAAACCACAATTGTTTTGTTACCCAGAGTATGTCCACAACACAAGTTTACATTCTGTAACACTAGCTTTGCAAAATGCATTGTGCCCAAATTAAAAAAAAGTGCAATACTATTGTAGCAACAAATTACCAGATATGAGTTAGTAATCAGAATGTAAAATGGGGTAAGTAATTGTTTTTGCATTCTGTGCTAACCAGAAATGGCAACTATTTCAAGTTTGCTTACCATATGTGCTATAGATAACCTTAAACTTTAGAGTCACATCATACAGAAGGGAAAATAGCAATGCATTAACAAGTAGAGTTGTTTAACATCTTTTCTAAGTTTGTTATTCAATTGTTAGATGGCCTTCAACCAGTGTAGCATGTGTTTTGAAAATCTGTCACCTGCAATTAATCATCCTTTAATCAAGGAAACTGGTTTATCCATGCACTCAAAATAAATGCTTTAGGAATTTAAATCCTGATTTGGTTGAAATAAGGTCCAACATTTTCAGTTTCATTCTGAATATCTGTTCAAATGTAACTAAATATTAAATGCACATGCTTCAGTTAAACTAGTAGAGTTTTCTCATGCAGAGATGGATAGCTTTTCTAAACCCATAATTCCCATAATACTGAGGAAAGCACAAATGCATAGGTATAAAAAGCAATTAATCAAAGAGGGTTTTTTTAGAAATACAAAATGGTAAGTGCAAAAATAAACATTTTTTCCCCAGCTGAAATAAGTTGCTTTCCTGCATCATCTTTTTGATCTTTTCTTTACAGAATAAGAAAAATGATTATTTTGGCAAGTAATAGGAAATTAAAAATATATTTTTCTGTATAAGAATAACAACTAAAAAAAACATGTACAGAAAACCTGTTACCGCTCAATGTGAGAGCCCAGGAGACAGTTTAAATAGTATATGTAACTCACTTCCAGAACAAGATTCAACCACTATGCCTAAGCTATTTGGATAAAGTATGCATGCTACCATGGCATTTCTAATGTATCACTGTATAATCTGAAACCAATGTAGTCCATGTGAGTGGGACACTAGGAACTCAATCAATTTGTGCTAATGATCTTTTTCTTTCAGATCCTTGCAGATGGGGAGTTGGCTAATGAAAGCAAACCTGGACTCTAAAGATGTAGAGAACCTACAGAAGTTTCTTCTTCACACTCCCTTGAGCTTTCTTGTAGCCACAGCAGTCAAGAATTCAAAGCTACATTCAAAATAAAATGTCTCACCAAGGAACTCTTCTGAAGTGGCAATTTGAGCATTGTTCTCCAGTTCTCACATCATCAGTCTCAATAAACCTTTCAACTTCAGCTGTGAGCATAAAAGCAACTCCTTATTGATGGAGTCTCTGCTTTGGTTCTTTTCCCCTGGGGAAAAAGGGGTTTCCAATTTGAGGAACCAACCTCCTTTTTCTGCTTGGACAATGAGTTATACCAAGGCCAGGAAATGTAGAAAGATTGGGGGGGGGGTCTGTTTATTCAGGCCTGATAAAGAGTAATCCAGCAGGTGCTTTCTCTGCAGGATTCTTTTTGTTGTCCTTTGCATTTGCCATTTTCCTTGTTGTCTTCTCCAACCTCATACTGCTTCTTCATCAGAGCAGCCTTTCTGCACAGCAGGCAGAAAGTCTGTAAACATACTTACTCTGTTGCTGTGTGTGAAGGAGTGAAGTTGGGGTTGTTCTCTGCTCTTTTCATGGTAGGCATGAAGACAAGGTCCTCCCTATCTCCCTCAAGCATTCACCATTCCATCAGAACTGTACTAACAGGCATCCAAGATGGTGCTGCTGCTGCTGCCTGTGATAATTGAGCCACATCAGGGGTGGGATTCTACTTGCACTTATTCGCTAGAACCGGTTATTAACATTCTAAGCAGTTCAGAGAACTGGTTGTTAGAAGAAATTACTGGGCTAATCCTGCAGGAAGGAAACATTCTGGTGTTGCTTACAGAAACTGCCTCTCCGTTAACCCTTGTTATGTTCTTGGCAGGACTAGATTTCCTATCTCAGGAACTTCTCTGGAGTTTTTTTTCCCTTCTTTTGCTGATACTTTGCTTGTGTGGAGTGACCATTCAAAGTTACAATGGCACTGAAAAAAGTGACTTATGACCATTTTTCACACTTACGGTTGTTGCAGCATACCCACAGTCATGAGAGGCCGGGCGAGGAGATGCCTGCCTCAATGTGAGTGATATTGAGTTGGCCACACCTGGCTAATAACATGACCACCAAGCCTCATCCACCCAGTCACATGACCACCAAGCCATGCCTACCAACTAAGCCACACCCACAGAACCGGTTGTTAAAAATTTTGAATCCCACCCAAGCCACATCCTCATGTTTTCAAGGATGTGCTGGTCCAGAGGCAGCCTCATCCCATCCTGTCTTCTGAGCTTATAAAAACAAACACCAAGAGTGGGGAAGGGGAGAGTGTAGCAGAAAATGTGATAAGCAGGCAGCACACAGATGGGGAAGCAAGGGCGACGTCTGAAAATTGGCAGGCAAGAGAACTTTCATTCAACTGCCAGGATCATAAGCTACAATGAGCAGCATATCCTGGTGGGAATCCTGCCTGGAACTTGGAGCCTTGCCTGGAGCTCAGAATCAACCAGAAGAGGAGTAAACCACACTGAAACAGCACTTCATTCCAAATAGTGTAAGAACTTTGTAAAAAGACAATATATGCTATTTTATAAACTTTGAGACTTTTGTTTAAACTCAGCATTAAGACACAATATAAAGGATTGAATATTAGACATATTAATGGAACAATACCATCTTGCAAAGTCCTAGA